GTTTCCCTATATTCAACACTAACAAAGCCCCTTTCTAGAAATCCTTGTCCTCAAGGATTGAACATTGGATATTTCTTCTTGAGGTCATAGTAGAACTCCCACGTAGCATCTTCTAGAAGTTGGTGTTTCCATTCCACAAGAACCTTGGTCACAGGTGCTCCCTTTCTCTTGACAGCCATTATGTCCAAAATGTAATTTGGTTCCTTTTCTTCTAACGCATCTTCCGCCTAACTAAGGTAAGTGTGTGGAAGTCAAGGCCTCTCCCACATGTTTCTTAAGTTTGAAATGTAGAACACATTATGAATCTTGGACTGCCCACCTAAATCCAATTTATAAGCTACAGATCCAATACAATCAATGATTTTGTATGGTCCAAAATACTTAGGGCTCAACTTTGCATTTTTCTTGAAGGTCATTGATATCTGCCTATATATGGATGTAGTTTCACATAGACTAAGTCTCCAATATTGTATTTTCGGTCGGTTTTGTGTTTGTCAACCAATTGTTTCATCTCTCTTGAGCTCTTTTTAGATGAAACTTGATTAGCTTTAACATCTTTTCTCTCTTCCTCAAACTTCTATCCACTAATTCGACATTTGATTCTCCTGGAAGGTAAGGAAGATGGATAGGGGGCGGCCCATAGACAATTTCAAAAACAATCGTTCTGGTTGTTGTATGGTAGGAATTATTATACCACCATGGCTAACCATCTGAACCATTTCTAGGGTGTGTTGGCATACATACACCTGAGATAAGTCTCTAAGCACCTGTTCACCACCTCCAATTGCCCATCTGTTTGTGGGTGATAACTAGTTGAGAGTTGAATTTGAACCCCTTTGACAGCCATAAATTCTTGCCAAAATTGGCTTACAAAAATATAGGATCCCTGTCACTTGTAATAGAGTTTGGACATCCATGCAGCTTAAATACATTGTCCATAAAAGCTTGAACTACATTGCTAGCCATATAAGGGTGAGCCAAAACTATGAAATAAGCCGCTTTACTCAACTTGTCTACCACCACAAATATGACTTCTTTTCCTCGTGACTTAGGTAGTCCTTCAACAAAATCCATTGTAATATGCTGCCACATATGATTTGGTACAAGTAAAGGCTGCAACAGTCTTAGGGTAGCTACTATCTCGTTTTTACACTATTAGCATACAAAACATTGTTGGATGAATGTTCTGAATCATTCATTAACCCCTTCCAATACACTATTTACTCTTCCCATGGTTGCATTTACCCCTAAACGGCGCCTATAGCAGTTGCATGTAACCACTGAAGCAGCTCTTTCTTAAGTTGTGGATCATTCCTAATAACTAGTTTTCCCTTTTTTCTCAACTCATTCACCCATTCATAATGCTTATGTGAGCCTTGAGCACTTTGGACTTCCTTAATCAATTTTTGCAAACTCACATCTTGCAACCAAGATTGATAAATTATGTTAACTAAATCCGAATGTAATTGTTGCCTTATTAATTGATTACACTCCAACAAAGGCTTACTTGAGAGGGCATCCGCAACCACGTTTTCTTGTCCCTTCTTGTGTTCTATCCTGAAACCAAACTCCATGAGCTTGACTAACCAATTCTGCTGAAAAACTGTAGTTAATCTCTGGTTCAAGATAAATTTGAGACTGTTGATCTATCTTAACCACAGAGTGTCAGTTAAGTAAATAATGTCTCCCCTATTAAAACCACAACCAATAGCTCTGTATTATATGTAGATAGGGACTGCTACTGTAAATTTAATATCCTACTTACGTAGGCTATGGGATGATGGTCCTGCATTAGCATAACACCAATTCCCCCTCCAAATGCGTCAACTTCCACCACAAACTCTTCAGAAAATTTTGGCAAGGCTAGAATAGGCGTGAGCAATATTTTTAGTTCCTGAAAAGCCAATTTCACTTCATCTGTCCACCTAAAATTCTCCTTCTTCAGCATATCATTGAGGGGCTTGGCTATTACTCCATAGCCTTTAACAAACTACCAATAGTACCCTGAATCCTCTGAGCTGCTTGATGGTCTTTGGCAAAGGCCATTGAACCATTGCTTCAATTTTACTAGGTCAGTGGTTACTCCTTCTCCAAATATGAAATGGCCCAAGTATTCCACTTTCTCCATCGTAAAGTAACATTTAGAGTGTCTAGCAAACAATTGGCTCCCTCTCAATGTCAACAAAACTATCCTTAGATGGTGTAAATGTTGCTGCAAATTCTCACTATATAAGAATGTCATCGAAGAAAACCAACAAAAATTTTCTTATAAATTGTTGGAAGATTACATTCAGACCTTGAAAAGTTGCAAGCACATTGGTAAGCCCAAATGGCATTACCATGTACTCGTAGTGGCCACCATGATTCCTAAAAGTTGTTTTGTGCACATCAGCAAGATCCATTCGAACTTGATCATACCCAGATCGGAGATCAATCTTAAAGAAGATTGTTAAGCCATATAATTCGTTCAACAAGTCTTCAACCAAAGGGATTGGAAATTTGTTTTTCAATGTATTCTTGTTAAATTCCTTGTAATCTATACACATCCTCCATGTCCCATCCTTCTTACTGACCAACACCAAAGGGTTGGCATAAGGGCTCGTGATATTTCGAATTACATTGGACTACAAATATTTCTGAATCAACTTATCCATGATATCGTTCTAGTTTTTCGCATACCTGTAAGGCCTTATATTAACCGGATTAGTGCCTTGCCCCAAGGGTATTTGATGATCATGATCTGGTTAGAAGGGAGGTAGTTGAGTTGGCTCCACAAAAACATCACCAAACTCTCGTAACAATGGAGTTACGTCTTTTGCTATTGGCAACTAAGTTGTGTGTGTGGTTAGCACTTGTAACAAAGCTCCTTCTTCTCCTACATGCAACATGGACATATGCACACCTTCATCCAAAGCCTATTGAAATTGTTGCTTTTTAGCCGTTTTCAACCCCCTTGAGGAAGAACTGCGTAAGACATGTCTTCTTCCATGAATCCTGAAACCCATGGTCGTCTAATTATTAAAGTTCCAAGTGATATCCCCTAGAGTAACTAGTCATTCAATGCCTAGGACAATATCACAACAGCCCAAGGGAATTAAAATCATATTTGTTTTAAACATGATTTGTTGAATAGTGAAAGAAAAATCTTTCACCATTAAAGATATTTGAATCTTGGAACCATCTGCACCACAACATTTAGACAATTCATTGCTTCAATTTTACAACCATATCTCTTGGCAACCTGAATATCCAAGAAATTGTGTGTACTACTACTATCAATCAAGATGTGCAATGGTTTCTTGTGATAGTAACCTGCATCATTTGAAAACTAGCTATACCCACTAGCGCATTTACAAAAATGTGAAGTTCATCCACTAGCCCTATTGTTTCGCTATCCTCCTCTCACACTTCCTCCTCGGGAGCATCCAACACATAAAGTTGCAATTTCTTGTGTGTTAACCCATGTAATGGGGAATAAGGAGTATCACAGAAGTAGCACAAATTTTTAGCTCTCCATTCACCCTTGTCTTCATCCACTGAAACACTCTTGTACAGATTCGATGATTTGGGACCTAACACCCCCTGGTGTTGTCGACTGTTGTTGTAATTGTCGAGCTTGAAAAGTTTCCTACCTCAACCTTGCTAGCAAAAAAGCTTTGTGGACCGTAGTGGATTGGAACATATGAACCATCATCTGCATATCTTTCTTGAGACCTCCCATGAAAAAACTTAGGGAGTATTCTTCCAATAAATTCAACCGATTAAAAATGGTGTCAAACTCCTCATAATATTCCACCACTAACTTCTTTTGACGCAACTTCATCAAATTGGTCATTGGGTCAGCACCCACGTCTCCAAATCGTTCTCCAAATCCAACAGTTGGTATTCCTTCCAAGCCAAGCACTGTAATTGGTTGTTCTAGAAATTGCAGATTGCCACTACATTGCACATCCCTCCATATGGACAACCGCTAGCTTGACTTTAATCTCATCAAGGGTGTTATCAATGAGGAAAAAATTGTGACATTGAAAAAGTAATTGATGGGCATTATCACCATTAAAAGGGGACAAGTCAATTATTGCTAGATGTGTGCTACAAGAATACGTATGTTGATCCATTCTTGCCATCAATCCTTTGGCATTTGCATTTTGTCTGAGTAAATCTTGCAAGGTTTCTTGCATAGCAACACCCAAAGTATTTTGTATAGATCATGCCAACTCTGCCAAACATCCCTCCAATCGTGATGCCAATCTTTCTTCCAAGTCCTTCATTGCTCCAACACTTTGTGTGGATTCTACCATGAAGATGGTGATAAAAAAGCGCCAACCTAGTTGATACCAATTGTTGTGCAAAAAGTAATTCTAGGAATTGGATAACTCGAAGAACTACAGAAACAGGGAACCCAAAGAATTGGAGGTTCTGAGAATGTTATTGAGAAGAGATTTACAAGGTAAGAGAAATCAATTGAATGAATGAATGCATTCTTAGGTCAGGTTTGACCTGGCCTTTTTATAGCTAACTACCCAACTATTAGCTTTATCATCTTAACAACTATTGTTGTTTTATTTTAACATTCCAATTTCAATCTCCTTACAACAAATAATGTCCACTAATTTGTTGACAACAATGCGATATAATGACGCTTTTTTTTTTACAATGACAGCAAATAAGGTTAAAACTTAGGAACTTAGACCTTGTGCAAACTACTTCAATCCTTGACTAAGCTGTTATAATGAGGCATTATCACATCAAACACGATTGCTTAAGGGAAATGAGGTTTTGTTTACCCGATTATAATGAGGTTTACTTTACACGAAAGTAATCACAACCTCAAGCACCTATCTTTTTCCTATATGGCATCAGTTACTTAAAGTTATTGTTAATTCTAAATTCCAACAAATTTTATGCCTAAAAAAAGGAGTGAAACTACAAATTTTATGCCTAACTTAATTGGTTCCCCGGTTTTACAGAAGCAGTCTTAATTGACTCTAAAGTAGCTTCTATTTCTCAGATCTGGCATGGAAGATCCGGTCATGGATGTCAACAGACTAAAAACATGTAAGAAACCATGGAATATAATGTTATAAATGAATTACAGCATTTAATTATGTACTGTCAATGTTAGACCAATATAGAGCCTAACAGTAAGAAAAGATCAAACAAGTTTGATATTGAGAATTGGCCGGCATAGATTAACATAACTATTCAAAAAGTATGTAGAAAACTTCAAAGTAAACGAATTAAGTGAAGAACAAGCACTGATTCAAGCACAGGTGTCAGAAACTAAAATGATAAATGACAATACAAAGTATATGAACGTAAATGCAAACATACAATAAGAAACTGCTTCAAGTTTCCCCCACAAGAAGCATCTTGAAGAAACCTCAAACCCCGGTTAACCTCACCACCAACTATAGTTGCAATATTCACAAAGAGTTCTTCCGGGACAGCAAGCCGAGGTACATCAGATGACGCTCTGTCAACATGAACGAAGAATCATACTTCAATAACGCTGTAAAGTTGAGTAGCACATACTGATGGGAAAAGAAAAAGGATGGAGAGATGCATGACTAACCTGTTGAAAAAGCCAGAAGCATTTGACCATAGAAACTGTGCAAGCATGACAAGAACCAATGCAAAGCATAAAAGAGTAAGAAAATGATAGTTAAGCCATTCAAAAAGCACCCAAACAACCGTTGCACTAGCTAAAACACTGGCAGAAATCTTCTTGTTCCTCCATAACAAGACATCAGCAGCTATAACATTCAAAGGCACACAATAAAATATTATTTAAAATAGTTTAGTCAATGCCAATACAGTACATTTTACAAATAATTGCCTATAAGGATATGTTGAATACATTTCTCCGTGAGCACTTTTAGGAGAAGAAAATAAAAAGAAAAAACTAAGCGAGTGTCTTCACTAGATATAATTAGCTTATGCATAAATTAAAATAAAGTTTCAATGAGTTAATGACAGAACTACGAATTATGTATAAGCTAATTTTAGTTTATGAAAAGGTCAAATTCATTTTTCTTCTTATTTTATTCTCTTAGAAGTAATTATAGAGAGATACTTTAAATACCATACATTTTCCACCCCCTAAAATATGGTGCACTGGTTTCTCGCGTCCAAACAGTCTATTGATCTGGGAACTCACTGAGTCTGACTTCTCACCCTCAAAGAATGATACAGATTTTTTCTTCTCCACAAATGTGTCAACAAAGTTTTCAATAAGGTTCTCAGCTGTGCTTTTCTCAGGCATTGTTCCTGTGCTACCAACAATCAAAAAGTGCATTGTCAAAGGCTGCACAAGATAGTTCTTATACAAAACCAAAGCCTGTCTTATTAGTATCATATATGAGAAAACCAACACATAATGTACGAGGCTCAATTTTTATTTCTAAGCAATAACATAAGTAACCATATTGATAACTTCAAAAACATAAAAGCTTAAACTAATGAAACGGTTACAACCATCCAACACAAAAAATTCTTGTAGCAAACAATTGATTTTGATCTCTCTGCATTTCAAACTTATCAAGCTTGCCATATTGACAGTATTTCAATCTTTTCAGTAACTTCTTTTAGTCTTCAAATCATAACACTACACTATTTCACAACTCCACCAATTCTGCAACAAGCCTTATGATGCAGTGGTAAGGGCAGCCCTCTTTCGAGCAGAGGATAGCTCCAGAAACGAAGGAAGTAATAGAGATAGAGATAATTCTGCAATCCTTTTCTGATTATTTTTCATTCATGTAAATTTTTTTTAGTGTTTCCATTTCCTACAATTTAGGATCTACTGCCAAGTGTACAGTAGTATGCGAAAACAATACTAACAGAATTTCATAACTAACAAGAAATATTCTCAAGGATACAATTAACAGACAGCAAAATAACAGAAAACTACTTTAATCAAATATAATCACTCATCCATATTGGTTTCTTCTTCTGACGATTGGGTCTATGATTAGGCTCATCAGTCACTTGCCTTCTCTCTTTCGTACATGTATCATTACCCCATCCTTCCAGAACAACCTTGTCCTCAAGGTTGAAGTTTGGATAAGAATTGCGGAAGTGATCTAAGTCTTCCTAGGTTGCCTCACCCACAGGGATGTCTGCCCACTGTACCAGAATTTGTTGGCACGGCCCTGTTGGGGTTAGTAAAACACGTGTGCCCAAAACTATTTGTGGTTGGGATAGTATCCTAGTGCCAACAAGGTTAGGGGATAAAGCGGGAACCGATGATGGTGGATCTCCATAAAACGGCTTGAGTTTTGAAATGTGAAAAACAGGGTGAATATGCGACGTAGAGCCAATTCATAAGCTACCTTGCCAATAGTCTTAATGATCTTATAAGGACCCGAGTAGCGCTTAGCGAGCTTAGGTGAAGACCGACCCCTAACCGACACTTGCCTATAAGGTTGGAGTTTCAACCACACCCAATCTCCCACTTGGAATGTCCTGTCAAGTCTATGCGCATTAGCTTGGTTACACATTCGTAGTTGAGCCAGGGCCAGATTCTCCCGCACCAATGCTAGTATGTGGCGCCTTTGAGTCAGAGCCTCATCTAACGAAGCCAAAGCAGTGGACCCCGTAACATACGCTCTAAGATTCGGAGGAGGACGGCCGTAGAGAATCTCAAATGGTGTATAACGCTGGGCAGATTGGAAAGTGGAATTATACCAATATTCTGCCAAAGGAAGAAACCTTGCCCATAGCTGCGGTGAATCGCCAATCAGTACAACGAAGATAAGTCTCAAGAATACGATTGATGACCTCAGTCTGGCCATCCGTTTGAGGGTGATAGGCACTGCTGAAAGCTAAGGTAGTGCCTTGTAACTGAAATAACTCACGCCAAAATTTACTAACAAATACTCTGTCTCGATCACTAACAAAGGACTTAGGCATGCCATGGAGGCGATAAATCTCAGCTATGAAAATTGGAGCAAGGGATGAAGCTGAGTATTTTTCTGGAAGTGCTATAAAATGAGCATATTTAGATAGACGATCCACGATCACCCAAATCACTGATTTGCCATGTATCACAGGTAGATGGGTGATGAAGTCCATAGAGATATCTTGCCATACTTGTGTAGGAATTGGGAGGGGATGTAATAACCCTAAAGGTTTCTGTGTAGAGTATTTATTTTGTTGGCATGTGGAACAGTTTCGGACAAAAGATTGTACATCTTTTGCCATGTTGGGCCAAGAAAATGAGCTTGCCAAACGAGTGAGAGTACCTTTTACCCCTGAATGACCGCCCGTAGGTGTAGCATGAAATTCTTCCAAAAGGGTGTGTCGTAGGTTGGACTCAAGAGGAATAAATAGCCGCTGACGAAAATAGAGGAGACCCTGTTTGATATCGAAAGGAGTGGACTGAGATCCTGGTTGGTGGAACTTAGTAAATAACGCCTTACCACTATCATCGTCCTTGTAAAAAGCACGAAGTTGATCCAAAAGAAGAGGTTGGCAAATGGAAACTGCACTAAATATTTCCTCTGGTTGGTTCGGCATGGTATCAGCAACGACGTTGGCCCGCCCCGGTATATACAAAATCTCGTAGTCATACCCTAGCAGTTTGGTAAGTCATTTTTCTTGAGCAGGGATTTGTATAGTTTGGGAGAGTAAACCCTGCAAACTCTTCTGATTTGTGAAAATACGAAAATGTCGGCCAAGTAAATAATGGCGCCATTTCTTGACTGCGGATGTGATAGTCGCCATTTCCCTATCATTCAAGGACATAACTTTTGGCTAAAGAAAGCAATAAGGTGATTTTCCTGGGATAATATAGCTCCAATAGTTGTTCCTGACGCATCAGTGGTGACATCAAATGTTATGTCAAAATTTGGAAGGGCTAGTACTGGTAATGTAGTCATGGCAGTCTTCAAGGTTTGAAAAGCATCTTGAGCTTCCCCCGTCCAGGTAAATTGATGTTTTTTGAAAAGATCGGTGAGGGGACTTGCCAAGGTGGCATAGTGGAGAACAAAACATCGATAGTAGCCTGAGAGCCCAAGAAATCCTCGTAACGCCGAAACAGACTGAGGTACTGGCCATTCCTGTATTACTTGCAATTTTGCAGGGTCAACAGCAATGCCCTCCCTGGAAATAACGTGACCTAAGTAATCCACTTGATGCAACCCGAATTGGCACTTGGAAAATTTTGCAAATAACTGATGATTGTGTAAGATGGTAAGAACTTGTTGAAGGTGATGCAAATGGGAGTGTTAGTCATGACTATAAACAAGGATGTCATTGAAAAATACCAGTACGGATTTCCGAAGAAAATCCCGAAACACGTCATTCATAGTAGCTTGGAAGCTTGGAAGGTCGATGGTGCATTGGTAAGACCAAACGGCATTACTAAGAATTCGAAATGCCCATCAGTTGTGCAAAATGCTGTCTTAAATGTATCAACAGGAGCCAGTAAGATTTGATGGTACCCGGAGCGTAAATCAAGTTTGGAGAATGCGGTGGAGCCATGAAGCTCATCGAACAACTCATCGATTGTTGGAATGGGAAACCTATCCTTCACTGTAATGGCGTTGAGAGCCCTATAATCAACGCAAAAGTGCCATGTGCCATCTTTTTTTTTTTACGAGTAACACTAGTGAAGAAAAGGACTGATGTTGGGTTTGATAATGCCATCTCGGAGCATCTCTTTAATCATTGTTGTCATCACTTCTTTTTGGCTTTGGGGATACCGGTAAGGTTTGACATTGACCGGAGGAGAGTCTGGGAGGAGGTGGATATGGTGATCTTGTGTACGGTGGGGTGGAAGGTCGTGGGGTGGTAAAAAAATGGAAGGAAATCTGAGCAGTAAGGAGGCAATATCAGGGTTAAGGGTGGTGGAATCGAAAGGCAGTTCGGCTGGTGTTTCTTTAAAGGGTGGTGGTAACAGAAAAGGAATACAATTCAAGTCTCAACACAACATAGCTGTGGCACACAAGACTCCTATTTTAGTTATTTTGTTATTTTCATCATTGTTTTTACTGATCTTTCTAGAATAAGGTGACGTGTCCATATCAGTTCAGGAATATGCTTTTCTATTATTTGATTCCTCTTTTTACCTTTCTAGGTTTCAGGCCATCTTTTCTCTCAGTACAACATATAAATATGTAATCATTGTCATTTGAAATACACAACAGAAATTTATACCATTTAGTCTCTGTCAAATATTTCAACCTTTTTCTGTTATGGTATCATGAGCCTTTAGGCTGCCATGGCAGACGCGCATACAACATCTTCTAATACGGAGGAAGAATCTCCACCTCCTCCTCCTTCATTTGTTGATCCAAGCCAAAATCCCTCCAGCCCTTTCTATATCCATCCCAATGAGAGCCCTTCTGCTATCATTGTTTCACCTCCTCTCACAGGATCCAACTATCAGTCATGGTCTCGTTCTATACGCATGGCTCTTATCCCCAAGATCAAAATGGGATTTCTTACTAATTCAATCCCTACTCCTGCATCTACAGACGCCGTTTACCCTTCGTGGGAACGCTGTAACACCCTTCTTTTATCATGGCTTCTCAACTCTCTTTCCCCCTCTATTGCTCAGAGTGTTATATTCTTTGAAAAAGCCATTGACATCTGGATTGATCTCCGGGAGCGTTTTACTCAAGGTGACCTCTTGCACATTGCTGAGCTCCAGGAGGAGATTTACTCTCTTAAACAAGATTCCTTATTTGTTACTGATTACTACACTCGTCTCAAGACTCTTTGGGAGGAACTTGACAATTTCCGTCCTATGATCCCCTGCACTTGCTTTGCCAAACAATACCACCTACAAGACTTTGTCATACGATTTTTGAAAGGGCTCGATGAAAGGTTTGCTATGGTTCGATCCCAGATTCTGCTCCTGGACCTGTTACCTTCTGCCCCTCGTGTTTTCTCCATGGTCATTCAACATGAAAGACAACACTCTGCTCCAACCTCCTCTTTAGTCGACAACAATCCCTTTATTAATGTTGTTGGTTCAAAGCGTAGGCCTTCACAGCAAGGTAGGGGCAAACCACAACGCAAATGTGACCATTGTGGACGCCTCGGCCACACTATCGATTCCTGCTTTCAACGCCCTGGCACTCAGCCTACGAAATGTGGCCATTGCGATCGCCTTGGACACACGGAAGACATTTGCTATGTCAAGTTTGGCTATCCTCCAAGTCATCCCAAATACCCAGGATGGCCTCGCCTTCCCAACAAACCCGCCTCTGGTAGCGGTCCTTCTGGTGGTAGCGTAGTCAATAGTACCGTCGCCACCCATGAAGCAAGAGCTGAAACTAGAACCCTAAC